TTCTGTGCCCTTTGGAGATGACTCTTAAGCCTTAGATACACTGCTTTGCTTTGATGTGACGGCCAGGATTCCACGCACATGCGACAGTAGGAAAGGGCTGTGCTGGCATTTGCTCATACAATAGTTGTGTGGCACAGCAGGGGAATCAGAAATACAGGGACCATTCTCAGACTGGGTGGGCCAGGAGCTGGACCTGATGCTTATTAAATGTACAACCTTGGGCACCTTATTTTATCTCTCTGGGTTAGTTTCTTCATATGTAAAATGTGGGTAACAATGGTATTTACCTCATAGGATTGGTGTGAGGATTAGATTTGGTAATGTAATTACAGTGCTTAGCCCAACAGGGACACATAATAAATGCTAAAATAGGCCCCACTAAGGTCTGTCTCCCACATACTGCTCAGCTGAGAGGCATGTCTTGTTGAATTTCCACATTGATCTTTAGTAATTCATTTTTTAGTAAAAGGAAGGGTTTTTATATGTTGGATCAAGCTTTGTGGTATTAGAGCAGGAAAACTAAGTATTTCATAGTTCTGAGAAGAACTTGATTTGTTGTTTGAAATCTCTCATTTATAACATTTGGTCCGTCTAAACTGTGCACTGTGAGCCCCTAATTACCTGCATTACTGTTTTAGATCTGAGAATTGTAAAGCCTGGGCTCAATATCATGAACAATACAATTTCCAGATTAAGTGATAGGGATTAGCTGAATCAGTGTTTATTACTGTTACTTTAGAAAAGCAGAATAAAAGTATCTTCTACTTGGAATTCTTATGCAACTTTTTTTTCTTAACATGTCACAACTTTGGCTGTTCACCTGAAATGAAAATACCCAAGAAACACAGCGTGCGGAGACTATGGACCATGTTGGTACGTGTCGCACTGTCGGAGCACTTGCTCAGAGTTTGGTCCTCTCTCACAGTTCCGAACCTTCGACCCGTGCAAACAGCTCTGGTGCAGCCACCCTGATAACCCCTACTTCTGCAAGACCAAGAAGGGGCCCCCGCTCGATGGGACCGAGTGTGCTGCTGGGAAGGTGAGTGTCTCTGTTCACACCGTGAAGATGAGAGACTCAGCTTGACAAGTCTGGAAAACAGTGAGGAGACCTGTACCACATTCAGGAGGCCTCATTCTGGGAATGCGCTGAAAGAACGTGCTAGTCCCTGTGCCCGCCAGAGCAAATTGTCACAGACTTGGTGGCCTTAAACAATAGCAGTTCATTCTCTTACAGTCCCAGATGGCGGAAGTCTGAAATTCCCGTGTGGGCAGGACCACACTCCCGGGAGGAGTCTGTTCTGTCTTCTCCAAGCTCTAGGGCCGCCCACATGCCACGGCCAGTCCGGCCTCTCCCTGCAGGGTCACATCACCTTGCCTTTCCTGTTTGTGTCAGTCTCTGTCCCTGTCTTATAGGGATCCATGTAGTAGCACATAGGGCCCCCCTAAATAATCTGGGATGATCCCCCCTTTTAAAATTCTTACTTTTGCTAACACTTGCAGGCCCGGGCACTGGCACCTGCTGTCCACGGGGCCACCCTTGGCCCCTGTGTGCAGACAGAGTGGGGAGGGCACTGAGCACAGCGCCCTCTGCTAGAGCTGACGGCTCCGGGGCTTCTCCTTCCTTGTAAAAGTTTCCCAGAAATAGAGTCACGTGAACTTATCCAGGAGATTTGGCCCTGCTCCTGGGGGAAAGATGCCCGGAGGTTTTAACTTTCAGATTGTGTACTCAGGATTGAATACTCAGAGAAGGGCCGAGTGCCAAGCTGTGCTGCTCCTGAGGAGAGATCCCAAAACAGAGGCCTGCAGAGAACACAAGCTGAAGAGCCCTGACTAGTGGGGAAATGAGACGGTGTAGGCAGAGCCAAAAGCTGGCAAGAAGATTTACGTGGCTTTAGTTCCTTAAAAGCTTAGTTTCAAATGTGTATAAACTGTGCTGTGATGAGACTTATAAGCATAACAATAATAAAACCTGTCACCATAAGTGTTCGCACTATCTGGCTCTGTGCCGAGCACGTCAGAGGCAGCATCTTGCTTTGGGAAAATTCAGTATCACAAACTTCTGATGAAAAACAGGAAAAGTAGTGAGTTGATTCATTTTTGCTTTTAAAAAGAAGTATGGTATAACATCCAACTCCTCTAAATATATTTAGAGTTACATTAGTAACTCTAATGTAAATTAGTTAAATTAGTGTTACACTAAATTTTAAAGTTGAGTTTTAAAATATAAAACTTTGTTACATATTACATTGAAAAGTAAGTCCAAATTTTGAAATAAAAGTGACGAGCATCTTTGGGTGCCCAGTGTGGGGCCGGGCACTGTGAGCCCAGCGCCTCTGTGGGGCCAGCTTCTAGCTGTCCCACTTAACTTCCTTGTGGGGACTCAGCTTCAGCACTTCAGCCGTCCATGACCTTTCCAGCCTCCGTTTTCCTCCTCCTCAAGGTAAAGATCAGCTGTCTGACCTCTGTCTTCTCAGAACATTGTGAATTAAAATTTTAGAAAGTAACTGAAAGTGCTTTGAAAGCTGACTCTGTTATGGCCACCATTCTCTAAGTGGGGACGTATTTTCATGTCATCAACTTAGCGTGACACACGCTGCCCTCCGACCCTGCCGTGCTGCAGGCACTGATGGGCAGACTGGTACTTCCCGTGCACTCTGACCATGCTCACGCTGAATGCATCACAGAAACTTACCTGAGAGAATGTTGTTTTTATTTTAAATTTTATACTTAAAAAAGCAAGTCTAAATGACCCTTTCAATAGAGCATCTTAATTGCTTTTAGATAATTTTAAATGCGTCTTCACCTGGACACTTACAGGAAGAGGAAACGAAGTTCCTCTGGCGTAACGGCTGCAGCTGTGGGTTGCAGGAGTTTCACAATTACCTTCTCCCGTTTTCTCAGTGGTGCTACAAGGGCCACTGCATGTGGAAGAGCGCCAGTCAGCAGAGGCAGGATGGCAGCTGGGGGTCCTGGACCAAGTTTGGCTCTTGCTCACGGACTTGTGGGACTGGTGTTCGCTTCAGAACCCGCCAGTGCAATAATCCCATGTGAGTACCGTCCCTGTCGTTCTTGTTATTTGGGGTGTATCCGGAAAAACACGTCACTGTCACATCGTTACTGCTCTGCTCCACCAAGTGCACGTGAAATGCAGAGCAGGGAGAGAGATGAGTCGCAGCTCACTAGCACTAGCCAGGGTCCCTTTGGATGAATCTCCATTCATTAATTTTGTGAAGAGTAGTCAGTGGTGATGATGAGAAAGTGGAATGCAGATTTGAGTTTTGGAGAAATTAGTGTTTAGGGATATTAAGGAGCCTCGCAGGGGAAGCAGATCACTGCTCCCTTGGGGTCTGGGTGCTACACGCTCCCAGAGGAGCTCCAAGAGGCTGGGAAGCTGGGGGTGTCAGGGTGGGGGGAGCAGGGCCAGCAAGGGAGGGGGCAGGGCCGGCAGGTGGACTCACTGTCGGGGGGAGGGGAGGATGCCTCTCCTGGTGGGGGCTGCGGCCTGACAGAAAGACTGGGACAAATGGCTGGGAAGCATTCATCACTCAATGAATTTATCAATTCTCAATGTTGTACTTAGCAAACTTTATTTTATGAGGAAAACACATTGAAATCCTAAACTCAGGGCAGTTTTCTTTGTCTGGGGTTTAACCCCTGGGCAGCCTGTGCTCCGTGCTCCAGCAGGGCAGTCCTGTGGAGCGTCCTTCATAAGGACCCACTGGGGCCGCACACCATAGCACTTCCCACTGGAAGAGAGGATGGTTGTGTCAGTAGAAATGGGAAAAACAGCAAAGAGTATAATGGTGATAGCAGCCCGGGGCCACTGTGAGCCTGAGTCCCCCCAAGGGCTTCGAGTCTGTGAACTCACTCAGTCCTCATGGTTTCTCTGAGGAAGACGGCAGTGTTATCATTTGCCTTTTACCTCTGAGGAAACCGAGGCACATAGCTGTGATCTGAGTTTCTTTGAGTTGCCTCAGCACATTTGATACATCAGAGAAAAACCTAATCTTTAGTCCACATAGCATGGACTTTTTATTTATTTATTTATTTTAGAGACAGAGTCTCACTTTGTCGCCCTCAGTAGAGTGCTGTGGCATCACAGCTCACAGCAACCTCCAGCTCTTGGGCTTAGGTGATTCTCTTGCCTTAGCCTCCTGAGTAGCCGGGTACAGGCGCCCACCACAAAGCCTGGCTATTTTTTGTTGTTATTGTTGTTGCAGTTTGGCCCGGCCAGGTTCAAACCCACCATCCTCGGTATATGGGGCCAGCACCCTACTCACTGAGCCACAGTCACTGCCCTGTTTTTATTTCTTTATATATTTCTGTCATGTATTTAGAATATACTGTTTAAAAAGCTTCCTTAAGTTGAGTTTTATTCTGTAACTTCCCTCCAGCAGGGGGAGAGGGGTGCTTCGGGACGGGACTGAGATCCGGGAGTGTGAGGCCATTCCCTCCCACTCCATGCAGGGGCTCTGGCTCTCTGCCTTAAGCACTGTGCCTGGGAGCCTGGACTGCTGGCGCAGAGCCGAAAGGCCTTTTCAGTGTTTTCTTTTCTTTAGGCCCATCAACGGTGGTCAGGATTGTCCTGGTGTCAACTTTGAGTACCAGCTCTGCAATACGGAAGAATGCCAAAAGCACTTTGAGGACTTCCGAGCGCAGCAGTGCCAGCAGAGAAACTCGCACTTTGAATACCAGAATAGCAGACACCACTGGATGCCCTACGAGCATGGCGACTGTGAGTGGCCCTCTCCCTGCTGTGTGGACGGCACCGGGGGCTGACGCTGGGCTAACACCATCCTGTGGACTCTTGATCCCTCCTGGGTGACTTAGGAAGCCTGGTGTTTCAGGGGTAGGCCCTCCGGGGCTTCCAAGAATAAGGCTGCAGGACTCCCTTCCCTGAAGAGGGAAGGATTGTGCAAATAGCACGTCCCCATCACCAGTGAAAAGACCAGTGGGAAGGTCACACCAGGGAGAGGTGCTGGATTTCCTGGTCCATCTGAAATCCTAAGGAAATGCTTCTGCAACACAGTGGCCATTCCTTTCTGAACAACTAGAGAAAAATAGAATTCTTTGACATTTGAGTCAGGACCAAGAAAAAGACCATTGTTTAATAGCAAAAGATGCTTTGTAACCCTTTACTTTTATAGCATAAGCTAGTTTTTAAAGAATACACTTAAAATTTTCTTTTAATGTTTTACTTCTTCTGAATTTTTGGTAAATATGTTAAAGTGGCAACTGCTGGGTTCAGTTTAAACCTGTTTCAAAGAAAAAGTAGATTCATGTAGGAATTCAAAGTTGTAATGCATTCAGAAGAAATGCACTATTTTTATCTGCTTTGGTGAAATGACTTTCATCCTCTAGGAAGGAAAAACTTTGCTTGGTGACTGATGGAAACCAAGGAGACAGCCCTTCCCACTCTGGCAGTGCTGAAACTAAGCTGGCTTTGAATCCAGACGTATTAAACAGCTGTAGTGAAATCTGGGGCAGTCCCAGTTGTTACCTGTTGTCCCAGCTCACCTGTTACTACCACCCATTCACAAGTGTCCCAGTTTAGATGACAAGTCACACGGTCGCCCTCCCTAAGCACATCTGCTAACTGTGCGTCCTCTTCTCCCGCTCTTTGTTCTGTTTATTTATAGAGAATTCCTTTTGTTTTCAGGAAACAGCATTGAAACTTTATATCTATAAATAAACTATGCTGTTCCATTTAGGTAAAAGGTTAATTTTATCCTCCATCTTATGCAGCCAAGAAAAGATGCCATCTTTACTGTCAGTCCAAGGAGACTGGAGACGTGGTGTACATGAAGCAGCTGGCACACGACGGGACGCGCTGCTCCTACAAAGACCCCTACAGCATCTGCGTGCGAGGGGAGTGCGTGGTGAGTGCGGCGGCTTCCCCAGGGCCCTGCAGTCCACTGTCATGGAGCTACACGTTTAAAATCTGTTTAAATGCTTTCTTATTAGTGAGAATCTGTGAATAATTCAGTAACTAAAGTTGGGAGAAATTGTGCTTACTAAATTCTAACTGTGGCCCTTGGCAGAATGAAGGTTTGAATAATTTTCCTAATTTCCAGCTTATTCTAAGTAACCCTGCTTGCTGCCTGTAGATTGGCAGCACAAGTTGGGAACAATGTGTTTGCGTTGAGTATTTTCCTAGTGGCCAACTCCCATTAAAGTACAAGGTCTGTTTCAAAAACGGCAATGCTGAGGGTGTCTTACCATGGCTCTTCCCTCTCACCGTCCAGTCTGTTCTCAGTCTGACCTCTCAGCTCTACACCAGAATCAAAGCAGCAATTGGAGAAGCAAAATCAGTGTCTTCCCTTCATTTTACCTTCTAATGCAGGTCGATTTCCTATTTGTGTTCACGGTAAAACTGATAGGAAACTATCTTTTTAAACTGAAACACTGCTCCTGAGAGCAATTTACATCTCGCTTCCACAACACTAAAGCGTTATATTAATGGTCTCAGGAGCTCAGATGCCTCAGAGTCGGACTGAAATTTCCCCGACCCCAGAATGAATGTGTGTCTTGTTCATCTTCCACCGCCCAGAGTTCCCAGTCCATTAAATCTGTGTTGTTGTTAATTTCCCTGCCCACCTTCATTCTAATCTTGGAGTGCAGTGGTGTCTTATATATCCTCACCCTTTATAGTAGGACCTGCCCCAGTCCAGAAACCCTTCATTAGTTCCCTGTTAAATTAATGTGAAACGTAAACTCATCCTGGCAGCCTGCGCTGGGCAGAACCTTCACTGTTCTTCCCTATCTCACAACACCAACCTTCCCCTGGTTCAACGTGGGTTTAAACATCGATCTCTGCGCCCATTTTCTGTGAATATGCAACCTCCGTGGCTCTGGTTTAGCCTCTGTGCCTTCCCGGAATGCTCCTTCATTCTCTCTGCGTTCCTCCAGAGCGCTGCTGAAGTCTCCACCACTTCATCAAAGTTCCATCTAAACGGCTTCAGAGATCACACTTAAGACATGACTCACCATATTATTATTCCTCTTTAGAAAAGCAGAAAGGGAAACCACCATCGTATTGTCTCTCTGTCTCCCCAACCTCAGCTACATCCGTGTTCAGTACATGTTTGATGATGATTAAGATAAGACATTTGTGATGGAGTAAATACTTCATTAAACAGGGGGGACACTTATCCTTTATTACCTGCAGTGCAAGTCATTTGATCTCATACTAGTTCTTTAAAACAGAGGTGTTAAAAAGCATGGCTACATGAAAGTTCGGTGCAAACTGGCTGACTGTGCACCGTGATTAAACAAATGGTCCATCGTCCTCTGGGGTGCTGAGCTGTACTTGGCATACTGACATTAGCCACATTTAACATCTTCTCTCCCTAGAAAGTGGGCTGTGACAAAGAAATTGGTTCTAACAAGGTTGAGGATAAGTGTGGAGTCTGTGGAGGAGATAATTCCCACTGTCGAACCGTGAAGGGGACATTTACTAGAACTCCCAGGAAGCTCGGTAAGATGAGGCCTCTCATGAATTCTTGTATGATTTATACTTTTGAGACTTCTTTTAGAAGTGTAGCATTTTCTTTATAAACATAACCAAACATTAGCTGCTGATTTATTTAAATTCAGATTACCTTTAAACTCTGACTGAATTCATACTCCAGAGCGTCTGTGATGAAAAAAATATCCACTAGATTTAGATAAGGAACAAATAAAGTCAACATAAAGTGACAGTGGTTAGCTATAGTAGGTGTGTTTCATTGTGCATTTTTAATCAATTACAGATCTAATTACTAGAATCAATGTTTATTTTGAACTCTTCTTGCATAGAAATAGTTGACCGGGAATTTAAAAAATCACAAAACTTTAGATACAACTTCTTATATATTATATTAGTTTTGCCACTCTTATTTTAAAAGGGAACAATTTTTTATCCTGTTTATAAATCTGTGAATCTAGAATCTTTATTTCCCATGATTTTTACAAATTTATTTTTAAACAATATTGAGGTACAACTGAAAACTAACATAAGCTACGAATGCTTGTATGAACTTCTGTGCCTGTGACCTAGCGGACAAATGTGCTCAGACATACACTGAAAAAAGCTGCCCTCCTATAACACATAACAGGAAAAACTCTCAGTAGTTTCACGATATTCATCGGAATTTTCATCAAATGTTGGATGTTTCTTACTGAATAATTTGCATTTGTTATGGAGATTGTCTAGTTACGCAGCAAGGACTCACGGGTGAACATCAGTGAATCTCACAGAATGACAGAAAACAAAAGGAAAAAACAGAAACAAAGGAAGGGATTTGGTTTACTTAAGTACATTGTCAACAGTGCTAATTTTTCCTTTTATAACTAAAAAATAAGAAAAAGTTAGTCTTCACCAAATGGACGACGTCTCTGGGCCCTCTGGCTCTGGCTGGACGTCCAGTGCCCAGCACAGGCCGACTGCACACAGACCAGCTTCTCTGTCGGACACAGTCACAAGAGGGAACCTGAGTGACACTTGCTCACGGGTCTCTCATGGGCCCTTCCTTGCTCCCATTACCAATGTCTTTGCTATTCGTATTTGATAAATTATCATGTTTTGTACTTTGTAAATTTCCGAAAAGCAAAAGTTTCTTTTTGCTTTCTGGATGATATCTGGGCAGTTGCATTATTTTAATCAGTTGTGATTATAATTACATACATCTACCTTGGTTTTGGTGGAATCAATGTAATTTTCTCCATCTTGCTGTGAATTAATGTGCTGTCCTTTCTTTATTAGAGTTATAAATGATTATTTTCTTTGAGGTGTAAAATAATTCATTTTGTTTTATTTCCAGAGTGAATTAATATAAAGGAAAAAGGTTTTGACGTGATCACTGGTTCCACATTATATTTGGTATAAGGTAGTGATACTGTTTCAGATGCCTCCAACATTATTCTAAACCTGCAAATCAAAGTCAAAGTAACAGGGAAGATTTTCAAAGGTCATACAGATGCAGACTGCTCAGAGACGATCTAACACCCATTTCTTTGCACTAATGTTGTTATCATAGTCATTCAATAGACTAATTAGCCTTTTCCCACAGGAAAACATTTAAGCAAGAGGTGCCATAAAGAACTCCAGTTGCTGGAAAGTGAACTCTGCAAGTATCAACTTCAGATCCCTACATTGTTCTGCATTCACACTCAGTCTTCCTTTCCCTGACTGTTTACAGTTCATTGGGATTAGTTAACTATTATAAATTCATTTTGACTTCAACATCTAAAATTACCAATCATTTTTTATACCTTACTTAATCAAGTACATGTGGTGTAGAGCATAGTCAACAAAACAGCCAGACTTTGATAAACGTGAAACCTCCACTAATTAAAGACATTCTATTTAAGGGAAGACCAGAGGCGCTTTCACTTTACCCAAAGGAGCTCGTAATGTTTCTCTTGCTGAAACAAGAGAAGCTAAAAATGTACTGGGTAAGTTGTAGCCGACTGCAGAAAGATGGGCACCCGTAACTGACATCAAGCTGTTTTGCTGCACTTGGCGTCCGGGCATGACACATACAGCCATGGTACACTCAGGCACACACGCCCACACTCAGGCACACATGGCCATACTCAGGCACACACGCCCATGCTCAGGTGCACATGCCCACACTCAGGT